ACAGCAACACTTGAACTCTAGGGGTAGGATTGGGTATTATGGCTCCCCAGGGCCTTTCCTTCCTTTCTTTTTCTTCACCTCCTTTCAGATGGATGTTGCAGGGTATTTATTAGCCTCGGGGCCCCTTGGAGCACTGCTTCCCTTAGTTTTGCTGAGGCACTGGGAGACCCAGTTGCTGTAGAATGCTGAGGCACCTGGTGGTTTTCCATGCTGTTTTCCACCGGTTCCCCTGCCCTTACTGAGGCACTCGGAGGTCCAGGTGTTGGTGTTTGCCTGCTCCACCACCTGGGTTTCAAGTTCTCCTCCTGGTATGCTGAGGTGGGGCTTTCCACTAGCTTGCTGGGATGTCTCCCATTCAGTACTGCTCCCCTTCCCCCAGGGCAAGAGGGGCCTTTCCCATTAACCCCCCAAGCTACCTGGGCTACCCAGTTACTGCACCCTGTCTTTCTTCTGGCTCAGCTGTTTTAGGGTTTTTCCATGAGTGATATTTTCTGGGCTTTCAGAGGTTAATACAGGAGGGTAAGAGAGACTTACTTCTTACTCTGCCATCTTGGCTCCTAGAATCAGAACTCCGCAAAGCATTTTCAACAAATTATCATCTGACACAAATTTTTTTTTTTTGTTAAGTATTTCTTTATAGCACCAATATTCTCCTGGTAATGCTAAACGGTTGTGAATAATGGAACATTTCAATCTCTAAAGAAACAAAAATTCTCATGACTCAGAGGGGAATGCAGTTACCTGTGATATAAACAGGCTGTAGTATGTTACTCTTATTGACATAAGAAAAAAGAAGATTATATGCTATCATCCAGGGAAATACGTATGATAGGAAGAAAAGGCATGCCAACCACGGAGTAACTGGCAGAGTTCACTAAGAGCTTCACTGATACATACAGAATGTTTACAAACCTAGCATAAGGCTTCTAGCACTTAAGTAAATCATCTATGGAGGATTTATAGGAAGGCATGAACAAGAATCGCCCAGAAGGGAAAGAAATACATGGGTTGTAATCTGTATGTTTTGAGAGAGTAACTAAATGGATAAGAACGTGAATCCATTGAAGTACTGAATTAATATAGGGAACATGAAGTCCTATGTGAGAAAGTGAGGATCTTAGCGACGCAGGAAATATTTTCATAACCAGTGTCATTTGAAGATAGGGAATTTAGAGAAAAAAGTGGCATTTGGGAAGTCAATAGCCAATTCACAAGATGGTGCCAGAGGATGGATTTGAATTTCTGGTCAGTAAATTAATACACAGTAATGACAGGCCAGGGATGAAGTACATTGAATAGGGACTGGTAAAAGTATATTTTTCTGGGGCAGCTAAGTGGCTCAGTGGATAGAGTACTGGCCCTGAAGTCAAAAGGATGTGAGTTCAAATCTGGTCTCAGACCAGACATTTGACAGTTACTAGCTGTGTGACCCTAGGCAAGTCACTTAACCCTCATTGCCTTGCAAAAACAAAACAAAAAAAAAGTATACTTTTCTGTTATGAGTATGGTTGAGAAAAATGGAGGGGGAAGGGAACAAACTATCTAAAGGTAAGAATGAAGAGTAGGTATGCTATAGAAAGAATAAAAGCAATGAAAGTGCCTAGTCATTCTTAGGAGACAATATCCAGAAGAAGAGCAGAAAAACACTCATAGTCTCAGACGTATATAAATGCACTCAAACGTACAATATAATAAATAGTGAGCTAGAGATCTTAATGCAATGAGTGAATCAATTAATTGATGATGCATTTATTAAATACTTACTATATGCCTGGCACTGTGCTGAGTGTTGGGAGTAAACATAAACAAAACAAGAGGATTCCTGACCTGAGGGACCTTGTTCTAATAAGGAAATACACCACATAAATGAGAGTGGTGGTCAAGGACGTCATAAGGATGGTAATGGAGTCATAGAGTAAGTGATTGAACTACTCAATCCAGTAATGATAGTGTTGATCTGATTATTCTTCCCAGAGCTAGAAGTATAAAGCAGTAGACTGTGGAGAGGAAAGAGACATTCCAGCCACATGGCATGAAGATTGTCAGGGAACAGTAGCTGGGGGTCTAGGAGGTCTGGCTAGAAAAAGTAAAGGAGGTAGATTCAGTGTCACAAATATTACTGAAATCTGGTGGGAGGTGAAAAAAACTAGGATGTGTGAAATGGGTATCATACTTGAAACGAACAGATTAGATAAACTTGGTGGTGAAGATAAAACTAGTGAGGGCAAATACAATGGAACATATTTGGGTAAGGATCAATACAGAGAGAGACAGAAGTAATATCATGATGGGAATATATTAAAGACTGCCTAGGCAGAAGGAGCCTCATTCATGATGAATTCTAGGAGTAGGTTATAAAAACTGGCAAAAAGACATGATACAATAATGATCGAGGGCTTCAACTGTCTGAACAATCTCCCTATGAAAAAAGCAAAGCAATTGAAAAATTATTGACTTACTTCGATGATAATTTCACCCTTAAGAAGATGAAAGAGATAGTGAAGGGAGCCATCTTTCTAACCCAATCCTAACCAATAAGGAAAAATGTGATGCAGAAGCACAAATAACTGGAGTTTTTGAAGGAATGTCAATTCTACCTCAGAGGCTGTGATAGGTAAGGAGGTGAATTCCAAGCCTAACCTAATATCTAACCAAGGCTTGGAGGCATTGGACATACACAAGATGTCAGAAAAAGGTAGGCCACTTTCTATGGCCTAAGATTCCCCAGGGGAAGAAGGATAGGGTATTCTTAAGTACAAAATTCTTATAACACAAATATAAAAGATTCATATGAGGAAGAAATGAAGAACTGTCTAAGAAGAACAATATGGCTGTATGCAGAACTCCGTCACTACAGTCTCCAAAAAGGTAAGCACAGAAGACGAAAGCAAGAGCAAATACTTACAGAATACCAAAGTGTGGCAAAGTCCTATAAGAATAGTATCCAGAGGAAAAAAAAAAAAAAAGAAAACAAATCAACAACAACAACAGAATAAGCTAAGACTTAAGATGAATTTATGGTAGACCAGTGTTTTTAAGCAATGTTGGGGTAAGATGAACCTAATAAAAGAAAAATCATTGGGAAAACAAATGGTACAATGATAACAAATGTAGACAAAAGGCAGGAAAAACTTTGTGATTTCTCTATCAAGTGAGATAGTCTTCAAACTCAGAAGGATAGAATCCAAATGATTAACAAGAGAAAGTAAGAAAGTACTTAGCTGTCCCTAAATGAGCTCCACTCACCAATCCATGATGAATGGTATCTAAAGATCTGGAAAGAACTAGTGGATTTGATTGCTCAATTGCTGTCGATTATCTCCAAAGACCATGAAGAATGGTTCTGCAGGACTATAGAAAAGCACACATAGGCCTAATTTTCAAAAGGAGAAAGAAGAGAGATTCTTCAAATGAGACCCAACAAGTTTAGCTCTGATTCTTGACAAAATGTGAGAAAAGATTATTAAAGGGATGATGAACACTTAGAGAAGGAGAGATCAGTGAATGCAAGCCAAGATCAGATTGTCAAAGACAAGCTATGCCTCATGCCAAACTAAGCTCATTTATTTTTTGTGACAAAGTTACTAGACTGAAATATTGGGGGAAATATCATGATATATCTTCATTTTGGCAAGGAGTTTGAGAAAGTTTCTCACTTGAGGGCAAGATGGAGGGAAGGGAGCTAGATAATGGTACAGTTAGTTAGATTCAGAACCAAGTAAACGTCCAAACTCAAATACTGGTCAGACTTAAGACAGGTCTCTGTGAAATACTATAAGGTTCTCCTCTTGACCATTTTTCTGCTTAACACTCTTATCAATTACTTGAATAAAAGCATTGATAGCAACGTTGTCAGATAACATGAATTTGGGATAACAGGAATGTATGAATACATACAGAATAAAAATCCCAACTCTCCTAGTCTTTGAAGGCTAAAACAATGGAACAAGATAATATTTTTCAAAGAATTTTTTAGAATTTAGAATTTTAAAAGAAATGTTAAAACATGTTAAAATACGTAAATTGCACAGGTAAAGAAGGGAGGGTATATCTAAGGCAAAAGGGAGGGAAACATAGCTGCGTTCAAGTATTTGAAGGGCTGTCATGTACTAGAGGCATTAGATTTGTTGTGCTTGGTCCTAGATGACAGAACTACAAGAAATAAGTGGATATGACAGAGGCAAAGTTCAAAGAGATTTAAGAAAAAAAATTCCTAATAATTAGAGCTGTTGAAAATGGTAATAAGCTGCTTCAGAGGTTAAGTTTCCCATCATTGGAAGTCTTCAACTGAATTTCCACGATAGAGTGTAGAAGATAACCCTGGTCAGGTACATTTGGACTACAGGACTCGTAAGGTACCTTCAAACATGAAGATTTTCTGATTTGACTACGTTTCTCTTCCAATCTGTATTAAGACTTTCTCCTCCCTTAGGAATAGGGGGTGAGGTAAACCTGGAAGCCAGCACGGTACAGTGGAAAGATTGCTAGATCCAGAGGCTGAGAACTTGGCTACAAATACTTGACATACCACTCAGGACCTGGCTAAATATTGGCAAGTTATTCATCATTTCTCAACTGCGTAATAAATGGTTTGCACAAACGACCTTAAAAGTCTCTTGTAGCTCTAAACTTCTGAACCTAACGATTGTCCTTCAGAGGGTTTCTGTGATCTACATAAACTGTGTGTAAACATAGAAAGCTAAAAGTAATAGCTAAGCTTCATTAGTTTGTGGCACCTTATTTCCAGAAACATCTCTCTAGAAATACCATTTTCAGAGCGATGCAAGACTCAGTTAAGACAATATCTGGAAAGTGTTTGGTGGCTTTAAAATTGTACTAATGTTAAAAAGAAAATAGCAGAAGACTAAGACGTGTTTGGTCATTGAAGGGGTATAGAGAACTAATCAGACCTACTGTGAAAGTAGCCTGAGTCAGAGCTGGCTTTGTAAGAACCATTTCTGTCTGCAGGGAGTGATTCTTAGTTCATTCTGCCTACTCACCATGGTCAAGGATGTATTTCACAATATCTCCATTCCCAGTTTTAGCTGCGTAGTGAAGAAGTGAACAGTGATCTGGTCCCTGGATTAGTAGACTGCCACCATTCTTACAGCATTCTATGAGCTGAAAAACAGACACACGGAAAGAAACTCAGGCAGCATTTGAACTAAAGCATCCAGTGGTAGAGCAAAAGAGACAAACCCTAAGAGTGAGAGCAGCAAACCACAAATGCTTTCTACCTTGGAGGACCCAGAGGAGAAACTGAACAAATAGAAATTACATTCCTCAGTTGCATCATTTCTCAAATAGGTAGCCAGAATGCTTAGCCATCCCTACTCAGCTCCTGAGATAATTATATTTGCTACATATCCAAAGTAAAACTGATATGCATGGGACTAACCACTTTTTCTTTATTTCTTTTATGGGCATGGTTCTCTTTTTTCTACCATAGGAGGGATCGGGGTGTGTGTGTGTGTGTGTGCATGTGTGTGTGTGTGTGTGTGTGTGTGTGTGCTCACATATGTGTGCTTGCATACATGCTGCATAAACCTATTGCCCCACTCTGTTTAATATTCCTCTGGATGGGAAAAGGAGAGAAAGGACTTAGTGAAAACTTGCACAGCCTAAGTTTCTTTCCATAGCTAAGCTGTTGCTCCAAGAGTAAAGTTCTCACTTTCTGCAGACTCCCATACATGGCATAAAATACAAATAATAATTTATATAGAATTTTAATTTTTGGAAAGTGCTTTCTGGACACTATCATAGTTGATTCTCCCAACCCTGTGAGGTAGAGACTATAGATATTATCATCTCAATTTTAAAGAGAAAGCAGGCTTAGGGAGGTCAACACATGGTTACAGAACTTGTGGCAGCAGCAAGATCCGAACCCAGGTCTTCATAACTCCCAAATTCCATGTCCAGTACTATTTCCTTCATGAAATAGTTATTAAACATTAATGTGTTTAGTTGGAGGCAGTATAACATAAGAGAGTTTTGTTTTCTGTGGCCAAGAAGATTTAGCATGAAAAAGATCTACTATTATATGCTGCCTCAGACTCTTACTAGTTGTGTGAACTTAAGGCAAGTAATGGAATATCTCTTGAGCCTCAGTTACCTCTGAGGGAAAAATGGGAATATAATAATAATGACTATAATAATAGTACCTATCTCACAGGGTTATTGTGAGGATTGAAAATAATAATGTATGAAAGTCGTTGGGGCAGCTGGGTGGCACAGTGGATGGAACACCTACCTTGGAGCCAGGAGGATGTGAGTTCAAATCCAGCCTCAGACACTTGACATTTACTAGCTGTGTGACCTTGGGCAAGTCACTTAACCCTAACTGCCCCACCCAAAAAAAATTAATTTGCAAAACTTAAAGGAGTAGATTAATGTGAGCTATTATTATTATTTGGCTACATATGGGATGAATGAGAGACTATATGCAAACATGAATGTATTATTATGTGTCCCTGGTCCACCAACACATAGAATACAACATGCTATTCTTGGTGCTATAGCCAAGAAAAATAACAAAGAACGGCCTACAGAAGGCCTCCTCTATTCAGCAGATGGAGTGACTTCTGTATGAGGAGAGACTTCTAAGAAATACAATAAAATTATAGGGGAATTACCAATCTAGAAAGATGAAAATCTAAGTGGGGATGTGATCACACACAATTTAATAAGTAAGAATGTGGAAAGGGCAAATAAACTTACATTCATTAAATGGCAGATTACTAGAATTAGGGAGCCCTCTTTGAAGTTTGGAAAAGGGAATTTTAGGTACTGACTAACCCAGCAGATAGTAAACATACATACATAATCCTCTTACCTAGAGAGACTATACATGATGCAGACACAAATACTCACATCTTTAATAAAGATAAAAAGGGTAAATTCATTGATAATGGATACATACCAGGCTAGTACAAAGAAACAAAAGATATTTAGATAAGGGAGTAAGAGTGGTATAGCCCTGAGCTCAACATCACCAAAAAAAAAAAAAAAAAGCAACTATGTGCTGCCCTATGAGGTCACTATTGGAAATAGAATAAATAGAATACAAGGCTGGTTGAGCTCTCAGATTAACTCAGGATGATATTTCTTATGTTCTCATGCAAAAATTACACACCCTGTAAATATCCAGGCCATGGAAAGAAGGACAGGTTTTGCATTCTTTCACAGTGTAGTTCCAAGATAATTTAATACATTTCAAATCACACGCAAGGCACTGTGTTAGGAGCTGAGGGATACAAAGATAAAACACAAACAAAAGACCCTGCCCTCAAGGAGCTTACATTCTACTAGGGGAATGTCCTATCTATCCCTAACTATAAGAAGTATTTCTTACAGTGATGCATGTATTGGGCATGTATTCCCAAAAACAAGAATAAATTAAACTTTAAGAGCACGCTCATATTTTCAATTCAATTCAATGAGTACCTTTTAAAGAACCTACTTATTATCTGTGAGGCACTGTGCTAGGCACTAGGAATAGAAAGGCGAAAAAAT